TTCCTGTCCTGAAGCCTCTCAGTACAAAAGCATAAGTTGTTCTAAGCTAAGGTAGCCATCCATTATGAATCACATACAAAGTTCTCCTGAAAGCCCTAGGCTTTACTATCATGCAAAGATCATCAGACTTTCAAATTCTATTAAAAAAAAAAAAAAGGGCAACACGTCCTCCTGATTTAAAGTTTTTTTTTCCTTCAGTCATAAGCTCAGAAAGTTTAAAAAAGAAAAAAAAGGCAAACCATCAAGACATCAAACTTGAATTAATTTGTGATGCTAGCAACAGTCCTTCAGTCCTGGTGAATGCATGGGGTATTTTTCTGTTTGCTTGCTTGCCTTTTTTTTTTTTTTTTTTCTGTTGGTTGTTTTTTTGTTGATCCATCACGTGGTCATACAATACGGTGTGAGTAAAGGAGACACAAAGACATAGAGGCAGAATGTGGATGCATCTGTCATTAAGTATGTCAAAGTTATTCAGTGTATGTGTGTTCTGTGTGTTTATGGAGTGTTCAGGGGTTTTTTTTGCAATGCTTATTTCATTTCAACCCTGACAGATAGTTTGTGTTTCTTTAGTCCAGCAGTGAGGACCTTGACCATGGGTTGCCTCTGGCCTGACAGGGCTGCATCAAACTCATAGCTCCGTGTTGCCATCTTTCCTGGATGGCCCTTGAAATCTTTCTGTTATTGTATAATCAGAATTGTTTCTTTTTTCTAGACAGCAGTTTACATTTCTACCCAAACTGTAAAAATGCGCATTTTGCATTTGCAGCTAGCACTGTGCTGTATGATGGGTAAATGACTGGTCATGTAATGGACTCTTTGCATCCTCTGTTACTTCACAGGGATTTCTCTGTCACTTGGCCAGACTATAGCTGTTCCTTGTCAGGCAACTGATGTCTTTGGTCATATATCAGAAATGCTTTTGGTCATATAGTCGAGAAGGAATTGTTTTCTTGCAGTCTTTTAACTTCATAGTGGTGTAAGTGGCTTGATTTGACCAAAAGTTTTTTTTTTTTTCACCTCCGCTTTTCTCTCCACATACTTTTTTCTGAGGGAACTGCCCATCTTTCCAATTGGTGCACTCAGCAACCATTATTTACTGTGGAATCCTCTGCTAAAGACGCAAAAATGTGCAACAGTTATGGTTCTGATTTTGGAAAAACTGTAATGTCTGTCTACTGTTTGGTTTTTTTCCTCAAATGTATGCATTTCATGTGTTAGACTTGGTATCAAAGCAAAACTTAAATTTGGTCTATGTCATGTTTTTGTAAATCATGCTTTTCAAAATGGTGATTTTTTTTTTCTATAACTAGAAAGTGTACAAATACGAGGTTATTAGTATTCCTCTTCCTTACAGTATGTAACAGTTCATTTTTCTCTGTTAAACAGTAATATCCTAGAGTCCACCTAGCAATGTAAGAAAACAGAATATCTCAAACTTCGTCTTTAGTTAGATAATAATGCTTTTTAGTTAATATCTTGTAAAGGTAAACAGTCCCACAGTGGAGCTGATCTAACTCTAGGAGTCAATATACTGTTAAGACAATTCCTTAACACCCATTTATATTAATAAGAAAGGAGCTGTCTTTATTAAAGCAATATGCTTTCAGAAAGGAAAGAGGTAGAAAAAGTAAGAGGTCTTTACCAATTGGAAGTTAGTAGTCATGAGATTTAAAATAAGTAGGCTTTACTGGGAAATTCAGAGACTTGTGTCAGACATGTTCTAGGAAAAAAGAAAGTCTAAAAGAAAGCTTTCTGTAGTAAAGGAAATGCATGCAAGTAGTTTCCAAGTTAATATAATTCTTAAAGGTTATGTGCTTGTCGTATGGCATAAAATCCAAAACCAAGATGAGGCACTTCACAAAGATTGCCTGGGGAGATCAGACAGGTGATGCACAACACCTGCACTAGGAACAGTGAGACTGACCCACAGGGTAACCTGATATTTGTGTGTTTTAACTCTCAACCTTCTCTGGAGTTAAACGTGAAACCTTGGTGGTCTGTGTCTTCCACATTCATGTAGAATTATATTTAGAAAAATAACATCAATGAAATTTTGGTTTGAAAATCCCAATTTTTCTTTTGTTTTCCTGTGATTGTGCCCACTTTATCCTCCTGTGCTAGCACTGAGAAATGTAGGGAGGGCCAGGGTAAATAGAGATACAGTATGAGTCTCTAACATCCTGTGGTTCCCTGTTACTGGGGTATGACCGGAACCTTTTTCATCCTGGCTGGGGCTAAGTAAAGGATTTAGCCAGTGTATATCTTGGGACAAAAATGGCTGTGATTCAGCAAAAGTCTGATATTTAGGTATCTTAAGAGACAGTTAAGTATTTACTGGTACTTTCAAGAGTTTGACATATCCAACTGGCAAGTACTTTGGAAAGGCTGACCCGTTTTTCCATAGTTAGTAAAGTATTTGAATGTTCACTTAAAGAAATGCTTAAAATCAAATGTGAAATTCTGCTGATTTCAGTAAAAATGAGTGTGGTCTTATAAATGGAGGCTGAGTGTCCTCGTAGTGACAAGTCAGAAACACTATTAATTCTTGTGAAACTTATGTTGTATGTAAGAACTCTATGTAAATCTTTCTGCCTGGGAGACCAACTCAAAATTGATACCTCTCAGTCTTTCACAAATGCTCCTTACTCTGAAAACAGTTAAATGCAAATATGTGTGTTTCTAAAGCCAGTGTAGAGATGTGAGTACTTGATCATTCCCCAGTAACCAGGAATTACAGCTTAATTTATCAGTCCACAATAATTGCCTTATTAACAATGGAGCTTCTAAAAATGTTCTTAATTCCCTCTGTGTGCAGGTAACTTTTCTGAAGAATTTACCTGCTCGGTGAGTTTTTAAAAGTGGTTTTTTGTTTTTGTTTTTTTTTAAAAGGCAAAACGCAAAGCTTACACAATATAAACTTGGAATTTGATCCATAGGTCAAGAGATTCAGTTGGCATAATAATAGAAAAGCATGAATGCTGTAGTAGTTTGTGTTTGAAAGCATAGCAAGTACCAAATAAATTGATTTACTGCCAGACAAGTAAATATGATGCTGGTTCCTTGAAAGACCCAGCATCTCTGTAGTAAACTTATAATATTTAAGGCTAAGGGAGACACTTAAAGATCAGATAAAAGGTCTTAGAAAAATTTTATGTAATTCTAGCAGATACCATGCTGTGGTTGTGGTATAAATCTGACTTCTTAAATGGCAGCTTTTTTTTAGTACTTGTCAAGTTAAGGGTCAACATTAACACAGTAGCTTATATTATTTTTTAAAAATAATTCTCTTTTCTCAAAACCAATTAGCATTTTATTTTCAGAAAGGTGGGAAGTTTCACATGTCTTAAGCAGCAATGTGCAACTTCCAGCTTGAGTTTGAGGAGTCAAAAGTGCTGGTAACTGCATGGAAGGACTGTGGAGTGGTCCATGCTCACACTTCATGCAGTTGATTTCTTCTTATGACTCAATTTTGCATATTTGCTAGCTACTAACCGTAAGAAGTAAGTGGATTCACAGTGAGGGCAATACTTTAATCAGAAAAAATAGTAAACCAGTTTCCTAAATGTAGCATTTTTTAAAAAAGTATACCCAATACAGTCAATAGTGCATAGGAGATTAAGAGAGATGTCAAAAGTACTCTGCGCGTTATCCCCCAAGTGGAGAGTTTTGTGTAATGTGCTGATGTGTATGTTTTAACCAAATTTAGGAGAGTAACAGGAGAAAAATACTTAGTAATTTAGGAAACCTGTATAGCTGGGGAGAAGTTATTTAAGGATTAAGTCTATTAGTCAGTAGCAATCGAATATGTAATCTGCAAGCCATTTGTTTCAAGTGGACAAAAAGTCTATACTAGATTAACAGTGAACAAACATAACAGCTTGAAACTCTTAAGTACTGTATAGTGAATCGTGGCCTACTTGGTTTAAAGGCTTTTAAACCTACCTGTAGTGGGAGGTAACATGGTACAAAAGGAAGTTAAAAATAAATCCTAAATTGGTCTATTACCAAGCAGTCTGTGACCAAGAACCATTTTTCATTCTCAGTCTCTGCTGTCAGTTTGGTTGGGTTTCTTGTTTGGTTGGTTTTTATGGTTGGTTGGTTTGTTTGTTTGTTTGTTTTTTGTAATGTGGTCTGTGATGTATTCATCACTTCATTAATAGTCCCCTGTTTCTCCCACGCAAACTTTCCACTTTCTCTACAGAGTTGTGTACAAGTCAGATGTGTTATGGGTTTTAGCTTTCTCTTCAGCATCAGGCACAGGACCAGCTATTGCTGAGGGTAGAGGACCAGGTGAACTTTAAACCTGCCATCACATCTAACATGAAGCATTTTGCAGTGTAAGAAGGATAGAGGAGGGCTTTACCATGGACAGGTAGTGACTTATTCATGAATCAGTTTCCTGTTAAAACATCTCTAAAGCCTGATATTTGTTTGAACTAGTAGTTATTTTCTGACATTCAGCAGAATTGCTCCAGTTCATTTTTGTGATTAAGAGAAGTCAGAAGACCCTCTAAACTTCAACTTTTCATATTAATCTACTTTTTTTTTTTTTTTTTGGATGGAAATGGTGTCTCATTTAAAATGTGTCTCAGAAATTTCAGTCCCCTAAACATTTCATGCTTTTGAAGTAATGATATAACAATTTTAGCTTCTTTTGGAAATAATTTACTGTTCAAACTGAAACGTGTATGTTGAATTTCAGCCTTAAGCCAATCCTGACTGGCAAAACTCATAAGAGTTGAAGGAAAATAGCTGTATTTTTGTAATGGAAATATCAACTCAACCTTAATGGTCTGTAACATGGATTTATAATTCATATGAAATTAGAGAAGGTATCTATAGCTACTTTTATTCAGAGTTTAACAAAATGGTTTTCTTCTGTGGAATGACCTTTCGGTCCAAAATACCCATTCCTTAAATGATGACGTAACTCCTAAGTTCGTTAAATGAAAATACCAGTGTATATTTTGGAGTTTTATGTTGTTTGCTCTTTTTCTCTTAGGAAGCCTGACAAATAGGAAAATACTACAAAGTGAAGAGAAAATTCACTTCATGAGAACCGAGCTCTGCTTTCATTGGCTTGTAAATTTTATTTGTATTAATAACTGATTAGTGTCAGATCATCTCTGTAGTCTACTGTGGTGAAGTTATTAGGTTAAAGCTGGAAAAAATGAAACAATTAAAAAGAAAAAGAAAAAGCAATTTTAGCGTTCAGGAGACTCAAACTCTCCTTAAGGAAATAAGAAAAAGGAGAGAAGTACTCTTTTCAAAGCAACTTAATACCACAATTAATGAGATGAAACGGAAAGCTTGGGAGGAAATAGCAGAGTGTGTAAATGCTGTAGGTGAAGGAGAGCAAAGAACAGGGACAGAAGTGAAAAGGCGATACCTTGACTGGAGAGCACTCATGAAGAGAAAACGTCTGAATGCAAACATCAAAGTAGTAGGTACTGGGTTTCACCTTCCTTCACCCAATTTAGATGACTCTCTCAATGAAGACATGGATGAGAAAATGGGATTTGCAATTGAATCTAGTTTTGAATGGCAAAATATCACTGACTTCAGAGAAGCCGGTGGATCTTTAACAGAAATCAAAGTAGAAGAGGAAGAGGAGGATCCGCAGAATTTTGAAGTGAGTGACTGACATATATTAGCTATATGCAGTACGGAGCCTGAAGCTTTTTGCTGTTTCTTCCTAGCATCCGTGTCTGTTTTTTCTGAATGTGTGAATTAAAGAAACTGTAGAAACAAATATGTTTCAGAGAGATGGTATTCAAATCCAGCAACTTGCAATTGTGTGTAAGGTCTTGGATGTTAATTATTAAATTGATATCCCTAAACTTTGAATATGTTTGCACATATTTTCAGTTTGTACATGCCATAAATAAGAATTAGTTCAGTCAGGAGAATGAAGATGTGCTGTTGAAGGAAACCAGTTATTTTAATAGTTAATACTCTCTGCGTGGATGAATGGAGAAGAGAAATGCACCTCTTTGATAAATGAAAGTATATGTTACCTGCAGGTACAGAAAGAAAGAGAAGACATGGAGAAATAGAATACTCTTTGTATTTCTTAAAATTATCCCACAGGACATGAAAATACTACTTGAATATGTCAGTCAGCCATTCCTCTCTGTCAGAATTTTAGTGTGAATTTGACAAGCAACTGTGGATCGTGTAGAGAGGTTGTTACTCCTAATAGTACCGTGACTGTCCTGGGGTAGTCAGTCACCTGGAGTGAAGTCAAGTGTTTGGATAGTTTTGTTGTGCCTGTACAAATACATAGTTCTCATTTCAGAAAGGGGTAATGAAACAGTGTTGGTTTGGGTGTGTTTGGAGGGTGGAGGGGGAAAGCAACTGCTGCCTTACCTCAGTTGAGATGTGTGCTGGGAAAAAATCAGCATATGCTGTTAAATGGTAGTGAGACTACTGTCTGAGAACTGCTGAAGAATGTCTGTCTGCTCTAACGCTAGAGAACTGGCAGTGGCTCTGATTGTCTTAAGATTTTCTGAACCTGTTATCTTCCTCAGTTTGCTTTTGCCACAGGGGAGACAATTATCCTTTGTGTACTATGAATTTGTAACACATAAGGGCTATAATTCTGCACAAGTTGTTACAGTCCGCCAAGAGCAATGGTCCTAACCACCTAGTCATCTGAGTCATAAATAGCTTTACAGCAAATGTGATAATACAAAATTGGTTAAGCAAGTCCTATTTATTGACCCATGTAATACAGTTTGACAGGTTAGGAGCATGTGAGAAATGTTAGATGTGCTTTAGAAATTGAATCCTCAAGTTAGTGAAGGCTGAGTTAGCTTACATACCTCAGTGTCTATAGATCTGTCTGCTCTGATAAATAATTAGTCACAACAAATTTCTAGTGGCTTACATAAATGTCACTCAGCTGTATGAAAAGTAAGAACAACCTATACTTTTTTAGATCCAGTTTTCTATCGCTGGGTCTGAAAGCTCTATGTCTATCATGCAATATTTTCTGTGTGTTCTTGCATGTCCACTGACAAGCTGATTTTCCATTACCAGATATTAACTTGCAGAAAATAAAGCATATTTCTCTGCCTGTGTAATGGAAGAAAACAGTCTTGATCTAACATGGTTATTTCACAGAATGTGAGTTAAACAGTTCTGAGTAGCTTTTAAGATGAAGAAACCTGATTTGTTCTTTTTAGTCAAGTTGTATCTAACAGATTTATTCTGGCATAAAGACTGGAATGTAATTCTTGTCCATCACATTCCTCTCTGCAGTTTCCTATTGAGGAAGAAGAAGAAATTTTGTCATCAGTTTTGCCAGATTCAAAAAAGGAAAATGACCTACCAGACTTCCCCCACATTGAAGAGTTTGGAAACCTAAGCTCTGCTCAAGCTAGGCTAGCCTATGAAGATTCTCACTTGCTTATTAATCTGGAGAAGCAGAAGGTGGAGCTGGAGAAACAGCGACTAGATATTGAAGCTGAAAGGTTGCAAGTGGAGAAGGAACGCCTGCAAATTGAAAAAGAACGGTTGCGGCATGTTGACCTGGAGCGTGAGAGACTTCAGATTGAGAAGGAGCGACTTCAGATTGAATGGGAGAAACTGAGGCTAGAGACTTTGCATGCAGAAAAACCTGCCCTGGAAAATGACCTCACACAAACAGAAAAACCTGTCATGCAGCCTCTGGATCTAGAAACTGAAAAGTTAAAACTTGAAAAAGAACGTTTGCAGTTAGAGAAAGAGAGGCTGCAGTTCCTAAAGTTTGAGTCAGAGAAGCTACAGATTGAGAAGGAACGCTTGCAAGTGGAGAAGGAGCGCCTTCGAATTCAGAGAGAGGGTCACTTGCAGTGAACTTCTTGAGTGAAGTCTCAACATTAGTGTTTTGGTGTTTGTAAAATAGAGGTGGTTCTTTTCTTAATACTGAAACTGTCCTAGAGGCTTAACATTCTTCTGTTCAGAGTTGAATGTTGATGTTAAACTGAAAAAGAAAAAAAGAATGGTGCTCAGTATGTCAGTGTGCCTACATAGATGAGCTTATGTGTGAAATTGCTTTTCAGTGTATGAGAACTAAGTGTTATGTTATCTTGTCTTCAGTATTGTGTTGTATTAGTTTGATGTCCTCCACTCATAGACACATTGAGAAGAATCAAGGCTGAACCATGTAGTTTTTTCAGTGTACTAACAGTAAGAAAGGATGAGAATAAATCAGCATATGTTGTGAGGGCATGGTGCTAATGACAGCCCACACAGTAAATATGTATAACTTGGACAGAACACACTAACACAGAGTCATGATGTGATTGATTCATTAAACTTAATTTCCCCCCTTTTTTTTTTTTCCCCACCCCCACCATTGGAAAAAGAGTTCAAGAATTATCTAAAATGTCAAGTATAAATTAAATTCACTGCAGTTGTGTTTATTCTTGTTCCATGGCTGGAGTTGAATGGGAGTGCAGAAAACAGTATTCTTCCTTTTACATGAAGTATTCATACTAGATAAATTTACACATGAACCATACCTACTATAAGCTGGACTGTTAGTTGCACCAGGTCATTAATACTGCCGTATGGAATATAGGACCTGTCTTAGTGTAGCATAGGGACTTACTGATTGATCAGGCATGCTGTCTAATGAGCCTGTGATGAGCCCCTGAAATTAACTCCTAGACCTGGTTTGTTCCTTGAGAGACAGTAGCTGGTGTTAGGAGTCTCAGGAGTGGAGACGAGGAAGCTGAGCACAGATTAAGGAGCTCTGAGTTTGAACACTAACTCTCGTGATGTTGGTTCTGCCTGGCCAGCACTGAGATCTTGTCCATGAGGCAGGCAGAAGAGGCTTTTCTGGCTGACACCATGTAGTCTGTTTTAATTAGACAAACAAAAATGGTCAGTGCTGAAGGCTGTCAGTATTTTTCATAAGCGATATATTCATTTAAAAGAATTTAAAAAAACAAGGGAGCTTTCTGTTATTTCATACATGTTTAAATCCCAACTGAGCCAGACTTTGGATTTTTCATCTTTCTGCAAGTAACTATCTTTTGTTGACTCCATTTGAAATTTAGGACTATGAGAATACTAGGTCTGAATATATGTTCAGTGACTTGCATGGATTCCTGTGCAAGTGAATATATTTATACCACTATAAGATTACTTTTATTCTGCAAAGAAAATGTTATTTTTTTATTACTGAAACAAGTGTGCTTCTACAGTGGAAATAAATATGACTACTACAATCCAAAATTGCTCTTGGGACTATGTTTTTTTCACAGAGAAACAGGGCTACATATGAAGACAAACTCAATACTCAATGTCTGTATTCCCTGTGTAGTAAATCAGAAAGATGAGGCACCTCAGAGTGGGACTTCAACCAACCAGCACTTACTTGAGGAAGGAAAAACAAAGGAGACACAAACCAGCTGGATAGCAATGGCCCAGGGGGCGGTGTATCTGAGATTCTTCATCTGGAATGTAGTGGGTTGACCAGATGCCAGGAGCCTACTAAGCTGCTCTATCACTCCTCAGGCGGGCAGGGGAAGAAGAATACAGTGAAAGGTTTGTGGGTCAAGATAAAGACGGGGAGATCACTCACCAATTACTGTCGGGGGTAAAACAGACTTGGGGAAAGTTGATTTATTGCCAATCAAAGTCAGAGTAGGGTCATGAGAAATGAAATAAAATCTTAAAAACACCTTCTCTCCCACCCCTCCTTGCTGGGCTCAGTTTCACTCCCCCTTTACCTTCTCCCCACAGCAGTACAGAGGGACAGGGAATGGGGGTTGTGGTCAGTTCATCACGCGTCTCTGCTGCTCCTTCCTCCGCAGGGGGAGGATTCCTCACACTTCCACTGCTCCAGCGTGGGTTCCCTCCCACGAGAGGCAGTCCTCCATGAACTTCTCCGACATGAGTCCTTCCCATGGGCTGCAGTTCTTTGTGAACTGCTCCAGCGTGGGTCCCCCACGGGGTCACAAGTCCTGCCAGCAAACCTGCTCCAGCCTGGGCTCCTCTCTCCATGAGGCTACAGGTCCTTCCAGGAGCCTGCTCCAATGCGGGCTTCCCATGGGGTCACAGCCTCCTTCAGGCACATCCAACTGCTCTGGCGTGGGGTCCTCCCCAGGCTGCAGGTGTATCTCTGCTCCCCTGTTACCCTCCATGGCTGCAGGGGTACAGCTGCCTCACCACAGGCTGCACCACGGGCTGCAGGGGAACGTCTGCTCTGGCGCCTGGAGCACCTCCTGCCCTCCTCCTTCACTGACCTTGGTGTCTGCAGGGCTGTTTCTCTCACACATTCCCACTGGTCTCTTTGGCTGCAGTTGCTGTTGCACAGAATTTTTTTCCCCCTTCTTAAATACATTATCCCAGAGGTGCTGCCACCATCACTGATGGGCTTGGCCTTGGCCAGCGGCGGGTCCATCTTGGAGGCAGTGGCATTGGCTCTGTTGGATACAGGGGAAGCTTTTGGCAGCCTCTTACAGAAGCCACCTCTGTACCCCAATCCTCTACCAAAACCTGGCCGTGCAAACCCAATACACTGAAATAAAGTGACAAATTTTCAGCTCCCAGATACATATAAAATTTATATTAAGAATAGCTGTCTGTGATTTGGAGAAATTACTTACCTTTCCCTTTCAAAACATGAGGGAGGCAGAATTCAGGAAGTTTGTCAGGATTGCCTAGTGCATGGAGCACGTACCCAGAGAGTGGGATAACTTGGATTTCATGAGCACTGTGTCCTGCAGTCACCAAGTTTCTAGATAACTGTTCTGACTGCCAAACAGGGTGAGGAGGAATAGGAACAAGGGGCAACATAGAGGTAGGACCAGAACGACCAAGCCAGGACAGAGAACCTTCCTGTGGTCTTGTCTGTAAGAAGTGCTCAGCCAGGAAGGAGCCGGTGTGGAGTCTGTCTCCTGTTTCGGCAGTTAGTTGTGCTGCTGCTTGGTACCAGCACCTTTGTCTTCATATTTTACTCCAGTTGAATACTTTACCATTAGGATAATGGTTTGCATTTTACATTGGACATCTTGGTAATTATGGCCCAAGAGCATTAAAGGTTTAGGGGAAAAATAAATAGAAAATCTGAACCATTTCTGAATTTTGAATTGTTTCAAAAATTTGAACACTTCTCCAAATGTGAATAGAGCACTATGTAAGCAATTACTTCTTCTAACAAATGTTCAGCCTCCCAGGGAAATGAGCATCCTTTCATTATACAAAACCTTTTGGAAAATACTGAATGATGAAATTAAGTATCGTCATAAATCATTGAAAATACAGTTTCAACATAAAATTAAGAGAAGATTACAGAGTTTAATATATCAATTTTATAGCTTGCTTTTTTCATACCAAAATTGCAGTAATTTTGTGGTAATTTGAATTTAAATGTCGTATCTTTAAATACTAATCTTCAATCTCTTAAACTTTAATTGCTTAATTTACCAACCTGGGATCCTTACAGCCAAGTCTAAGGGCAAGATTTTGACCATGTAAGTGCCACTGAAGTCAGGACATAAAAATGAACTCAGTTGCTCTCTTAAAGAGGGAGAGGTTTTGGACTCCTGCTTGAAAGAAAGGCCTGTGATTGTAAGTAACAAGTGACATTTCCAGACTGGGAAGAATCTTAAGACAAGGAGGAAACTACACACGTATGGATAAAGAGGCAAGTATTTGGAGGAAAAAAACTGAGGGGTGAAGATCAAACATTTAGTAAGAGAGAAGGCAGGTGAAGCTGGTGCCAGATAAAACAGAGTACTGGAAATATCCCCAGTGGTCTTTGCAAACTGCTTTATCGAGGTTATAATGCACTGATGGCAGATCTCATGGCTCTGTGGACCCCCCATACTTGGGAATGTATGGATGGGAAGGCGAGGGGCAAAGCACAGCCTGAGGTGCAGCAGGCAGCTCCGCAGCTGCTGCGAAAGGCGTCAGGCTCACGCCGTCCATGGGTGCCTTGTAGTTTCCCGTGCTGCAGCAGGAACATGCAGCGGGACCTTCATAAATGCCATTATATCCACTACTCCATGAAGGGGTTTCTAGACAGTAATTTTAGGGCCAGAAGGCCAAATAAGAAAGGTAAAATAAAGGCTACTTCAGAGAGCTTCTCGCTGTCTGTAGTTAGTGATGGGTCCCACCAATTTACGCCTGGCTAAGACATTAATGAAGTGAAGCAGAATGCATCCAGGTGTTTTCACAATGCAGTTTGGAAACAGACTGGCTAATGCTTAACAGTGTCCTAACAGCAGCCAGAGCAGGTCACAGGGTAAGGTTGTAAGTGTGGTCCAAGAACAGCCCAGGACAAACAGCAGCTACACTCCCAACAGGACACACCTGAGAAGGCGTGGTAGGATTCAAAGGCAACTTTGAGTAAGGGATCCTGCGTTATTTCTGGGCCATTTTGAGCAATCACTGTGCATAAAGAGATGCTTCAAGCAATGCATTCACAAGGTATAAAATATTTATTTATTAAGACAAACAAGAGATGGTTAAGGTTTAATAAAGCTCTCAGGCTAAGCATTTAGTATCGTCATTCCCTCAAGGCATCTTTGCTAGCCAGGCAGACATCAACCAGGAGAGGAAGGGCTCCTCAATGTAGCTCTTTCATGGTACTGAGTTGCCACCTTCTGAGGGTTGGGTTTTTTTCTCTTTTTGCTTTGGGGATTTCTTAATCTTTCCACGTTGGTAGATTTTTTTTCCTCGTAAATCGTCAAAGTGCTGACATTTATCTCAACAATCCCACCTCCATCTGTAGAGACCTTATTTGCCTGGCTCTTCTCTACAAACTTTCTGAGCTTTTTCTCACAACTTCACAATATTCCTGTCAGTGTAAGCAAAGGTTAGGCAGCCAGGCTGTGCTGGGCCCTGGATTAAAGATGTGATGGGGAGGATGCACATTTACCTGCAGAGTTGATTAGACCCACCCAGTAACAGTGCAGGAGTTCTTGCACAGCGATGGTACTAGTCAGACTGAGCTGTAAGGAGTGAAGCAGTTCTCCAGCACCCACCTGTGGAGGTAGGAGCTGTGTGATGGTGTCCTGGATGTTACTGTTGCTGTCTTCAGGATAATAGGAAGACTGGGCAAAAAAAGGCAAAGCCAGTATCACTCTTCTTGAGCTGTTTCAGGTGTTGGAAAAAGCTTTTCAGCCACTGGCAGCTTTGTGAAATAGCAAG